TAAAATTAATTCGTGCCGGGTGCGGTTAGTAACTGCTCCTGGTCATTTAAAATCGCGCAAAGATTTTCAGCCTTCAAGCCTTTCTACCTCAAATTATTATCCAATTCCAGACTGATTTTTCACGACGGAGCGAAGCATAAACTCGAAAATAAATTATAAAACTTTTTCCAGCTTGTTGCGCTTAGTGCTGGCGATGCTGCGCAACGTAACGTTCGCCAGCGCCCGTTTCACGCTCGTCTATCGAGCACCCCGTATGAACCAGAGACAGAGGTACCAACCACGCCAGCTACGCCTCGCGCAAAAATCGTAATCATTTTTTTCTCAGTGCTGTTAATTAAACTTTGAGCTAGAATTACTCGCGACGCGACGTGCTTGTTTTACCGCGAAAAGTTTTTGAAACTTCCAGATGTACTTGTGCTGGATTCGTAGTGACTCGTTAAGGGAATCTGTAGCAGTGGATTAGTTTGCGTTACCTCCCACGAGAGGCCAAATTTTCAAGAAATGCTACCGAGCCGAACTACGATGATAAGCGAAGATAATCGAGTAATCCAAAAAATAATAATAACTAGGCCGTGGCGAGGGTTCTGATGGCTCACAGTTGCAGGAAATATTTAAGAGTAAGCTGAGATCCTATCATACTTAGGCATACTGACAATTAATCAGCAAATCAATCATTAATCAGTAGATTTTTGAACCAAAGCAACTCATCTCGAGAGCAGCTGGGCACTTGTCCTGCCAATGCAGTACTGTTACAACAGGTATATTTTGAAATTGTTCGCCCCATTGCTGATGTAGAGAAAATGTGTTTGCAGCTGAGCGTCACGTATACGGATCCGACCCGTGGGAGCATGGTGGTTACACGACGTCGCGCCAACGGCCACCTGGATGTTCGCGTTGTTTACAATCGTGAATTCATTGTGGCAGCAGCGGCCAGTCCGCTTGCAGTGTTACCGCCAGCGAATTTCCGAGAAATGGTACTCGAGATGACCGATGTTGTTGCCAAATTTCCAACAAGCTTCTACAACAACATTCAGCAAAATGATGTCGCCAGTTCACACAGTTTCACAAGTTTGAGTCCCGCCAACCCGAAATAATTTCTCGATTTGGACAAACTTCTGCTGAAATCTTGTGTTCACCCATTCTACTCTACCCCCTCCTCCCCTCAGCACCTAAAATAGGTCTAATCTTACGGGAAAATTTTTTTCAACTTCTTTTTAAATTAAAATCTGAAAGCTCAAATCCATATCGTCTCTGAAATTTCAGTGAATGGGCGACTCGGGATTTCCGGAACTGCTTGTTCCTCCGGCTCTCCATAATATGCTCGGCTTTATTCCGTCATATTATGTTTGTTTGGCTAGTGCTATCATCAGATAGTGCTGTAGCGTTCGTTAAGTCCGGTTAACCTCACACATTCGGGCTCTCAGTAGTTGAGATTTTCAACACATACTTATTAACTCATTTTCTTTCCACCTCATTTGTAAATTCATAAATTCAATGAATAAATTTGCAAGTCTGCAAGTTGCAGTGACAGCCTCGAACATTGATTACGAAAAGCACATTAGGCAAAAATCACAGTTTCTTTCGCAGTGCTTGTGATATCAACATTGTCCTGACTACTCCGTCATTTTGCAGTTATTTTGTGCCACTAGTCACAGCTGTTGTTTTCTAAGAAATTTGTCTTGAAATGACTGCACCTGAAGACATCAATGTTTGCAAAATGATTAACACATGGTGTCCATCAATATCGGCCAAAAAGATACTTTATCGGCTTGCTAATAGCTAGCGTCGTGAACGAATCCATGGAAACTGGGACATTTGGCGACCTCACGCTACAAGCTTTACAGATGCCGGAATAATACAGTGTTTTACTAATTATGCGTTTTTTGCAGCTATGCAATGCAAAAAACGCATATTGACGAGAGGTTGTCTGTGTGT